CAGGAAGAGCAAGACAGCTGCAGCATCCATATCTTCAGGGCAGAGCTACTGAATCTGCAATGCATTTTAAGGCTTATACACATCTAGAATAGAAATAACCTATATCTATATTGGGTACAGTCAGCAGCTCATTCCTGATGGGATGCTCCCTAACTCCTGTCTTACAGCACTTCACTTCTTACTTGGTCATTTTCTACATCCCAAAGAAGATCCAAAGAGGATTTCTCCCTTTCCACCAACATGGCAGCAGCTTTCCTACCCCTTCCTTCATCCGCATTTGCCAGTAGTTCACTTCAGGTTTTGTTTTTTCCCTTTCCTTCCCATTCCTCCGATTCTGCCTGCCCTTGTGACAGAGAAACGAAGAGACTCTTGAATCAAATGCTTTCCCTGGCCCTTCCTCACGCTACCATTTCTATTTAAATGCCAAGCTCCAGAGTGGTCTCAGATGCTCCTTCCTCTCTGTGCTCCCTGCACCTCATGTCAATAATTTCTTCTGCAAAAATGTCACATGCTTTTCTGCTCAAGCTCCCTCTCACTTTTCAGGGTAACTCATGTCCTCTTTGTAACGCCTAATAACCTTCCTGGAGGTGCACTTTCAGGTCCTCCTACCCTTTCATCGCTTCCTGTACACACTGTATACTGTATTGCCACTTTCGTTATTTTGTTCTCATTCCCATCTTCCTCTCTTCTTTCATGCAGTATTTTATGTTTGACAAGTATCAGTCTACTACGTACAGTCTCTCTCCTCACAAGAGACAGGATCACACAGCTTATATGAACAGGTTATAAGGAGAGATTTTATGTGCCCCAAAGCATGTCCATTCTCCTCTGTTGCTCCAATACAAACATTTCTTCTGCCACCAATACTTTGCCCTCTAAATCCTTGATCACTGTGGCTACAACCACCCAGTTTCTTCCTCAGTGCACACCACCTGCAATGATTATCTAGGGGATGGTCCTTTACCTTCAGCTAATGCACCTCAACTCTCCAGTTGTGGCACATCCAGATGTAGCCAGAGTGGCACATCATGTCAGACATGAGGCTTCTGCAAACGGAAACTCTCTTTTCCCTAATCCTGGGGTAAATAACACAGAAAACCTTATAGTAGTGGACTGCCTGTGCATTTTCACCTAATTCAGAAAAAAACCCAGAACATCATTCCTTTTCTGTAAGAAGCTTTAAGGCTGGTTTGAAAGACAAACAGCCCCCCCTGACAGATCGCATCTTCAACAGGGCCAGTGAAACAGTATGACAAGGGTGGTGATTAACTCTCCCCACAAAGGAAAATGTTGAGTCTATGTAGGTGGCATATAAAATCCCCCACTCTCTTTATGAGTCAGGTAAGCTGCCAGAAAGCAGAGGTGGAATCCGTGGGATGAAGCTGTTTTCATTCCTGCCAGTTAGTAGTACGCTTTTTGAAAGACAAGAGGAAAGTTTAATTATTAAATCAGATTTTTTTAAAAAAGATTCTTATTTAAATAACAAGATCTTTGCCCTTGATCCCCAGTGATGCTGTTTGCAGTCAGTTACTGTCAAGGGGAAATACTATTAAACAACTCCACCTCTTACACCCTGAGGTTAATGTAGCATTTTTGGGTTATGCATCTATTCTTCCATCTCCCACTCAGTACACATGATCCTACAGTCACAGCATTCTCCTCTCCCTCTGGCTCTAGAAAATAGGGAAGCTGATGAGCCAAGGTCCCAGTCTTACCCCACACAGAGCCCTTTTCAGAGGCAGAGCTTAGTTCTGATGAGAAAACTATCTCTCCCAATAGCTGCACAAAAATGGCTTAACAAACATACAAAACAAAGTAATTGGAAACAAAGCATTTTGTAGGGTCTTACTTCAGATCAGTCCAGGATTCAAGGGGTAATTCAAATAGATGGCAGTGTCCCTTACCTAAAGTTACAGACTTTTCAAAACCAAACCTCAGAAATTCAGGAATGTGAAAAAAATGCCCTTGGGTCCTGGAGTCCAGGGGTTACAGCCCTCCTCTGGCACTGTCAGTGGGAGCACAATAACTGCTCTGATCACAGTGCAGCCTGACTGAGCTGCTCTCACAAGTCCAGTTCTGAATTCAGGAACATTTCCCACATAGCTAATTCTTTAGTCTACACAATACATGTGCTTGATGATGGGCAGGAGCAGCGTATTTCAGGTGCTGAGAAAGGGACGCAATAGGATGAGACTACCAGCATGTGTAATTTCTTTGTTTCAGCTGGAAAATGGAAGATCTGGAGTAGATACAAATGTATACATAATGTATATGTAAAGATAAGGATGGAGGACAACAGTGACCAAAGGAACGGTGTGGAGAAAAAATGTGAAGAGGTAGGCAGAGTAAGGCAGAGGACTGAACTGAGACGTCAGAGAACAGGCAGCAAGACAGGGTATCAGAACAGAAAAAGAAAGGGGTAGGGGAAGACAGGAGAAGACACATGAAAAGGGACAAAAATGAGAGAAAAGGCATGAGCAGTCAAAAAGCAGGGAGAAGAGGAAAGGTGAGCAGCACAATGCTTGGCAAGAAAGAAATACCAAAGCATAAATAAGACACAGACAAGAGACTCGCAGAGGGGTCATAAGAAGAAAGCCCTTGAACAGCAGAGAAGACGTGAAATAAGCAGTTGGAGGAAAAAAATCACCTGCCAGAACAGCACTTCTGAGAGTCACGGGTGAAAGGTGCTGCTGCCTCAACGAGGGACAGAGACAAGCTTTGGGAAGCAACAGGCTAAACCCAGGAGAAAAAAGGATGACGCCAGGAGAAGACAAATGATACTCTGGTACTCTGTCTTCTGTCTAAAATAGAAATCATGAAGGTCATTGAAATTGCCACTTAGATATTGCACATGAAACTTAAGAAAAACCCCACTTATTTTTCTCAATACAGTAATTCTTCCTCCTTCTCTCCCAGTGTTGGATTAAATTAATTACTGTACACTTTACAGTTCTACCTTCCTGCCAGGGAAGAAAACCCTATTATACCTGGAGCAGGCCTTGCTCTCTGGCTTCTTTTGCCTATAGAGGCTTCTGTAGGAAACTTTCAGTAGACAAAGCTGGATTTCCAGCACCTCCAAAATCACCATGGTGGAGCTGGGTATCAATAGCAGAAGGAGGAAAGCAAGGGGAAGCAAACAGGGGCGTGCACTCAAAGAAAAGCTTTTTTTTTTTGTTTTTATAATTAGGAAATCTTGCCAATATAAAGAAAAAATTGCTACTGGCAAGTAATCTGTCACTCCTTTGCATACTGAATAACAGGAATATGAGAGGAGGTGTGGGACATACATTCATAGGATCGAATTCTGTTGTTAACATGTGTTCAACATAATAAAAACATAACTGGGAAAATAACACACTATAACACAAACACTATGGAGGCTATAGAGTAAAAACCCCAGGAAGATCAAACCGTGTTCCTGGGGTAGCATCAATCTGAGAAACCACAGCTTTATTAGTAGTAACAGGAGCAACATATGGAGATGAATGAAACCATGTTTGTAAATGTGATATGCAATTGCACACTTTTGCTTGGCTTTCCTTTTTCACGATCTGACTCAGCCTCCACATGGCTCCACTCCCCCATCTTTTGATTCATAAATTGATCTCAAAAAACTGAAGCGTTACAACGCCAGCATGCAAAGGGCATGATATGATGGGACGTTGGTGAGTGCAAAACGTGTCACTGGTCATCACCCTGCAAATGGACAAGTCTGGCAGCAGAACCAGAGCCACTGTCCTGAGGGGTGCTGGGGAACGCCATGCAGCACATCACAGCTCCCCTCCGCTGCGCTAGAGACAGGCGCTGAGGTAGACAAACCTATTACACAACTGTGTAACATCGCTTAAGCTGCATGGCAGCCACTTCGTGGAGCAGTCCCTACATCACCAAACCCTGAGGATGGGACATGAGAGGAATGAGAAATAAAAGGATATCTCACAGCATATGCACTCTGTATGTCTTAACCTATGACAAAGAGATCCGGGTTAACAGCAAGCAGTGCAAAACACACCAAACAGTGCATGAGCGATGGTGTACAGCCCTATATACTTAGTAAATGATTAACAATACATAGTGTTGACATAGAGGGGTCTGTACGCAGGAACAGCACCCTCCCATTGGGCCTGGGTTCCGCAGCGTGTGTGAGGCTGTAGACAGCCAGCCCAGCCCAGCCCAACAGCACCACCGGCCCAGGCCAGCGGCGCTCCTGGCGGAACTGCAGCCCCCGGCCCCCGCCGCCTTGCCCAGGCCCGGGCATGTGCTTCTCCCTCAGCCCCCCGTTAACCGGGGCGCGGTTAGCTCCGGCGCTACGCTTGCCACAACGACAGCAAAGCACAGGCACGGATGACGCGGTGTGTGTGTATCTGCCAAGCCCGAAGCACAACGAAGCCCTGACCCTGCTGAGCTCAGGCTCCGGCCACAATGCACGCCACCGCTACCCATGCGCAGCGTTACGGTACAAGCTGCATCGCAAAGAGCATACTTGGACAGCGCAAACCCCGCTGCAGTCCCTTCCGGCGCGCAGCGCACGGCGCAGCGGCACCACAGCCCGCACCACAGGCAGCCAGCGCACTACGGAGAATCTTGCCTGCTACGCGTCTGGGCTCCTCCGCAGGCGCCGAGCGCGGCGGCGGGACTGGGGGCTGCTCGCTGCCGCTCCGCGCAGAGCCTGCGGACGCCTCTCCGCGCCGGGCCGGGCGGACCGTGAGACCCGCCTCCGCCGCCCGCGGAGCAGGGGCCGGGCTGCGGCCGAGGAACGCCTCCCTCTGCGCCGCTGCGCTGCTGCGGGCCGCGCTGGGCCGGCCTTCGCCGCCCATGTGCCGCCCCGCCCGCCCCGCCTCTGCGGCCTCCCGCCGCGGGGCCGCCGCCGACCGGGGGTGGGGCGAGCGGCTCTGGCGCTGCGGCGGCGGCTGCGCAGGGCGCTCGGCACGGCTTCGGCGGCGGTGGACGGACACCTGCGGCCGCCCTCGCCCGCAGCGGGCAGGCGGGCCGCGCCGCACTTTGTCGGGGGCTGAGAGGAGCTCCCGGCCCCAGCGGCGCACGGCCCAGCCCGGCCCAGCGCGGCGAGCGGCGGCTCTCGGGGCGTCGCCTGGCTCCGGCGGCCTGGGCACCGCGGGGAGAGTGAATGAGAGTTTGCTCCGATTTACGAGCAGGGTGAGTGTCTCGCCGGGCCGCCTTCGGGGCAGGAATATGAATCATGGGCGGGGGGGGGGGGGTTGTTTCCGTACGGACCGTTCAATCCCCATCCCGGTCCCGAGCTCCTCAGGCCGGGGCGGTGGAGACCCGCCGGGCTGGGACAGACGCGCCTCCTCATCAGCCCGGTGCAGGGCAGCGTGCCTCCCGCCGGGCCGAGCACCCGCGGAGGGGCTGCTTCTTCCATTCTCGCTGTCGCCTTTTGTTCGTGTCTGCCGGGGGTGCGAGGGATAGGGGCTACGGGAGGAGACCCCGGGGAGCTGTGCTGGTGGATCATCTTTCCGGGCCTTTTTCATCCGTTTGCGGGTAACGGAGACCGTTCCCGTGGGCGCTGGGGTGTCTGGCTGCCCCCGCCCGCTGTCCCGGGGCCGGGGAGCAGCTCTGCTCCGCTCCCTGCGCCCCTCCAGCGCGGAGCAGCCGTCCCGGGCACTGCCGTGCCCCGCCGCCACCGTCCCGGTGGAACGCGGAGCCGGGAGTCCCAGGCTGTAGTAAACACAGCGTAGGGAGGGTGGCGGTGAACCCCGTAAAGGTCACATCTTCATGTGTGAGCGCAGCTCGCGCTAGCTGCTCTCCCGAGGTGGTGTCGACCTGTGCTGTGCCCGCTGTAGCTGCCAGCCCTGCTCCGCGCCTGCTCTCCGCGGGCTGGGATCGCGGTGGTATTCCCTACAGCTGCTGGCAGGGTTCTCCCGTGGGGGGGGGGAACAGTGCGAGGTGCATCGGACCCCTGCTTTACTTCATCCGGCCCCCGTCGCGGGGGGAGGGAATCTGGATGGCATCCGAATTGGAAATTAGACCTGGGAACCTTGTGAGGTTTGCTTTATTTAACAAAGCAGGGATCCCGTGCTCTGCATTACCTGTCAGCGTCCTGCCTTAGTTTCTAACATGTGAGAAGTAGTTTCATTCCTCAGAGATTTCAGCTGTCTTGAACTTCTTTTTTTTTTTTTTTTGTTTTTAAATGCCACAGCTAGTTACCAGCTGCCATCAGTTGTTCAGAATGCAAAGACTTTTTTTAGTCCTAGTCTGTGCTCTTCTGAAGCTGACATTTAAGCTACTAGCTGTGAAACTGATAAAATATAAACTTAATTGTTGGTGCTATAATACCAAATCATGTAAAAATCCGTGAAAGCCTGAGTTGTGTTTCACTGTTTTTCATACGGCGGCCACAAGTATGTTTGGCTCGTCCCTCTGTCATAATAAAGGTGGCTTTGGGTTGAGATGCCAGACTGAGCTGAAGATGAGCCATGTCGTGCTTCCAGCGTTGCAGGTAAGCTCTTGGAGGTGGTTTTGGCTGGTGGCAGGCGGAACTAACCTGAGCTAAAGCGTCAGACTTTTGGGTTTGCTATTATTTCCTCTGTTAACTGTGGCACTGGTGAGACCTGGTCTGGTCTGTGCGTCCGCAGTAAGGGGGTGACTGTTGAGTGGCATGGGGGAGGCTGCTGCTGCTTGAATGCACGTGTGCCACTCCTTGGCATGGTACTGCTTCTGCTGTGGGTGAAGGCATCACCCAGGCTTAGACCTCCCTCCTGGCTGCCTTGCCAGCATTGCTATGGCCTGGGGACCTGCCTGTAACAGAGGGATGAATTAAGGGCAGCAGCTGGAAAAAGCTTATCCTGGCTCTGCTTTTTGGTGGGACCCTGTTTTGGAGATTGGTAGAGGGAAAATAAGGGGGCTCATGCTCAGACCAGCTGTCTTCCTGGCTGGAAGCTAATTCCCGGTGGTTTACAGCAGGTAGCCAGTGCAGAAGCTGTTCCCTGGCCCTAAACCTTCGCCTCCTCCTGGTATGTGATACTCAGAGCTTGTAGGAACTGAAGTTCATTATATGAGTATCTGGGGCAGTATTGGATGCCAAAGTGTCAATGGTTTTTGAGACCTAGAGGTAAAAATTCCAAACACATGTTTAATATTTTGTTTTGGTAAGGGAACTTTTGCAGTGTCTGAGAAGTGATTAGTGCTGCTGTTAAAAGTCAGGTGTACATGTGACGTGCATGCATGTGTTACTGCATACGTCTGTTGTGACTTCAGTCTCATTGACTATTCACTCTTTAATACAGAGACTTCAAAGCTAAGGAGGAGCACTACCTGTTTAACCCCCAAAGCAGTGACAGATCTGTTGGGAAATTAACAAAGACCCAATTTGACATTTTGTCTGCTTAAAAGTTATGCTTTTTTGACTTGGTCACCACCAAATCCATAGGGATTCTTGAGACAAGAATCCATCTCAAGACTGCGTTTTGTGTACCATATGGTCCCATTAACAGTTTCATGGTGAATATCTTTTTATTTAAGTAATGGATCACACTTCCTGTTGTTTTGTTGCTCATAGGACTGGAAAACAAACGTTATTCAGGAATGACTGAGGCAAGTGCAACATGTACCTTGCTGAATTTTTGGAGTTAAAGCTATGTAGCTATTCAGTGGCTTGTCCTGGTCTTTTCCTCCCTCTCCTTAACCCCAGTGTTTATCAGGCTTAGCAGTGATACTCTTTAACTTCGAAGTCCCTAAAGCCCTGGATGTTGCCGGAATACTCCAGGATTATGTGCAGAGAAATCTGCCATCCCAAACTGGAGGCTCTCTTGTCCAAAAATGACTGTGTCAGGCCCAAATAAAGTACACAGTTTCCTAGCTTTATCTTGTAACATATTTCCTTTCCTAGGTAGATTTTTCTCAGTTAAATGATATCTGCATGGCAGCATCTGTGCTAGGAGGAGAGATGTCTTCCTCTAATGTTATTTTTATGACACAGAGTTTTAGCAGAGGGAGAACTTTTGACAGTAAATACTTAATCAAGGTCTTCCAAAAGAGATTCTCTCTCTGCCCGCTGCACCTGACCTTGCCAGGTGGCAGGTTAATCCATGAAATAATATGTGCAGAGAAATACAGCTATTGAATGCAGTTTTTGGGTCATAATGTTGAATGCTTCTAAGGTTTATGTGTTTTCATCTTTCAAGTTTCTGGACAAATGCAGTTTTTTTTAATCTTCTGGCCATTGTCATTAGTATGGGGGACACACACACGAAAGATGGAAGTTAGACCTTTTCCTAGGAGCTCAGAATTTATTAAAACAGTTAGAGTTTAGTGCGAACTCACCTTAAAATTTAATGAGTTAGTGCTGCTTGTTGTTATGACATAAGAAAATGAAATAAGGAGTCTTTGAAGCCACTTCAGGCTTCATAAATATTAACAGGCTCTGCAGTCTTCACTGAGAATAAATTCTGGGTGTTTTTTCTTCACCTTAATAGTACAGTTTCTTTTGCACAGTAAATCTTCTTGCCTTGACTAAGCTGAAAGAGCAGTTACTGGATGCAAACCAAAAATACTGTATTTGTGGTTAGGTTTTCCCCTCCTGCCTTTAACACCCAGTCCTTTCTCTTGGTACACTCTCTGGTAACAACAAATTTAATTCCATGACTTATAAAACCAGATCTTCAGGGGTGCTTAGATGATTGAAGATGCATGTTTTTGCTTCTGAGAATAGTGGAAGGTGAAGATTCCCAACATGTTCAGTTGTGTTTGGAAAATCATTTCTATTTGCATCTTGGGTCACCATATGTGTTTAATACTTGCCTGTGTTAATGAGGAAAAAAACCCCAACTCTGGCAGAATTTTCTAAGCATGCCTTGAGAATACTTAATAATATTGTCTCTTGTAGTTTAAAAGCTGCATATGCATCTTAATGGAACTGAAATTCCACTTAGTTGCTGCTTCTTGCAAATCCCAAGTTAATGCAGAAAGTTCTTTGTGATGGTCTGTAAAGAACATATCATTGTTCTAGTACACATTAAAAGAGTGCATCAGACTTACTGAAAGACTTCAGGGTGTCTCATGGGTGACTGAAGAAAACTAGTGTTTTTTATTTCACAGAAGGGTTAGGGTTGGAAGGGATCTCTGGAGGTCATCCCTCCAACCCCCTGCGAAAGCAGGGACACCTAGAGGTGTTTGCCCTGGCCCATGGCCAGGCAGCTTTTGTATACTTCCAGGGATGGAGACTACACAACCTTTCTGGGCAGCCTGTGCCGGTGCTTGGTCACCCTCACAGTGAAAAGGTGTTTCCTGATACTCAGAGGGAACCTCCTATGTTTCAGCTTGTGTCCATTGCCTCTGGTCCTTTCACTGGGCACCACTGAAAAGAGCCTGTCTGCCATCTGTGCACCCTTCCTTCAGGTATCTGTATACATTGATAAGATCCCCTGCTGAAGCTTTCTCTTCTCCAGGCTGAACAGCCTCAGCTCTCTCAGCCTTTCCTCACAGGAGAGATGCCCGAGTGCCTTCATCATCTTCATGGCCCTTTACTGGACTTTCCCCAGTATGTCCATGTCTGTCTTGTACTGGCACCCTCAGAGCTGGATACAGTACTACAGACCTCACATTTCCCAGTATGCTGTAAAAATAAGGAACTTCTGAAGTAAATTTTGAGCATATTTTTTTAGGATGCAAGTCTGAGAGGTCAGCTTGGTGCTTTCAATCACTGATGCAGCTTCTCTGAGTGCTGTTGCTCTTCTGCAGGAGCTGATGTTCCTGATTAAAAAACCCAAATGCTCAGCATTTTCCTGATCAGTGCAGGTTTTGACAACTCTTTTGACCTGTGATTAAGGGATGTATGACTAGGTTTGCTGCTTACACATGCCTATTAAGTGTAATCATTAGATGCTGAGTCACATGTGTACGTGTGTTTCTTGGGGTGTATTTATACAGACTTCTGTCTGAAACAGTTTGTTTCAGTTTTGAGTGAATGCTTGTTTACATTTGTGAGGGCGCATCCTTGCTGTGGGGTAGTTTAGTTCTCCAGCATCCATCCCATGCTGCACTGTAGTCCATCGGGGCTGACCTGCCTGCTCCGTGGACATTCTCTACATTACTGCATTTTCCTTGTGACATGCCTGAGGTTGAGCATCTGTCTGTAAACTGAATCAGGTGAAGTTTGGAGATTCCTTACTCTACTATGGCTGATTTGTATGCTTATA